ACATCCAGTTAAAGGATTCAAATGGTTCAAATATAGCTTTGCCAATGCTCAGAATCCTCCTCTCATTGAAAATTATCATGTCCCCATATGGGTTTTCTTTCTGGCTTCTCAGTGACTGGTTAGCTCAGATGGATATTCAACATAGTGGTGCAACTTCTACTCTCTCAGCTATACTAAATAACCTGCTTTTCTCCAAATTCTCCATGTTCCAGTTCTTTGCATGGGCTTGCCTATATCCACCATCTCCACCTACCTAATTCAAGGTCTAAAGCTATGCTTTGGGGGAAGTTCACAGCACAAGGTGTCTATATAAGAAGAGAAGAAAAGTCACAAATCACAAATCCATGACCTCACTTTCCACTTTAAGAAACAGGGGAGAAGGAGTAAATGAAATCTCCAGTAAGTCAAAGAAATAAAGATTAGAGCTGAAATCAATGGAATAGAAAACAGAAAAACAATAAGGAAAAAAATCAATGAAACCAAAACTAGTTATTTGAGATCAATAAAATTTATAAACCTCTAGCCAGACTAATGATATAGAAGACAAAAATGATCAATATCAGTAATAAGATGACATCGCTGTAGATTCTATAAAGTAAAAGAATATTTATTTTGAATAATTTCATGCCAATAAATTTGACTACTTAATGCAAAGTGGGAAAATTCTTACTATCCAAGCTCACTCAAGAAGATATAACCTCAATAGCCCTGTATCTACTAAAGAAACTGAATTTATAGTAAATATCTTTCCCCAAAAGAAAACTTCACTAAAGAATTCTATGAAACATTTAAGAAAAAATCAATTCTACACACACTCTTCCAGAAAATTAATAGAGAATTAGAAGCTCAGGGAGCTGAATCCTTCTCAACTCATTCTGTGAGGCTAGCATAAACTCTATAAAATTTTATCAAGTCAAATCCAACAATATATAAAAATGATAAAATGGTCAAGTACATTTTGTCTCAGGAATGCAAGGTTGGTTTAACTTCTGAAAACCAATCAATACACTAATTTATATATGAACAGACCCCAAAAGAAGAACCATATGATACATTCCTGATTTTTAAAAAAGCTCTTGGAAAACTAGGAATTAGAAAGCAAACTCCTTAATTTGTTAAAGGGCATCTGCTAAAAACCTATAGCTAACATTACATGTAATGAGAAAGACTGAATTCTTTCCTTTAGATCAGGATAAGGCAAGGATGTTCACTCTTATTACATTTCTTTTCAATGTGGTACTGAAAGTTCTGGCCAGAGAAATAAGAAAAGCAGAAGAAACGAAAGTCATCCATAATGAAAAAGAAGTAAACTATCTTTATTTGAAGATGACGTAATTTATGTAGAAGATCCAGTGGAATCTACAACAAAGCTACTAAAACTTGTGAGTTTAGCAAGGTTGCAGGATACAAGGTCAATATACAAAAATCAATTGTACTTCTATATATTTACAATGAATGACAGGAATTTTAAATATACTTTAAAATAGCATAAAACATTACAAAATATATGGAGGACTGCACACTGAAAATGTCAGCACACAGTAGGTACTCAATAAACATTGAGTAAATAAAGTGGTAGAGTCTAAACTCAAGACTGTGCAGTCTGACTCCTAGCCTTTCACAACAAATACAGTAAATATTTTTTGTTTCCAATATAAAATTATTCTTTAAGTTTTGCTGCTCAATTTCCACATATCCCAGTAATGTTGATCTTTTTAGCAACAAGTACCAATTGTCTGGAACTTCCTAGCATTTGGTGACAATGAAATTTGAATACTAAAATAATCTTACTTTGAATCTTAAAACATCTTCATAAGAATTCCTTCACCTTAGAACAGAGAAATGGTGGCTAAGACCATTGGCTTAACAAAGAAATGACTGTACCAGTTACCTATTTCTGCAAACTTGGAAAGAATGTCTTATTACAGACAACCACCTCAAAAATGTCAGTTTGGCCTTATGTTCAATGACTGGCTACACCTATATGTGTGCCCATTTCCCAGTTTGAATCACACACAAGAAAGGCAGTCAGTACTCAGTGCTACTGGAAGATGAAATAAAAGTTGTAGCAGCTGAATATCATTACATTCTAAAAGGAAATGATGGAATCTGAGTACATTATCTTAGCTACAGATAGAATGGAGTGGAGAATTATGGTAGGCATTCTCAGGCAGCTGCCAGGGCAGCTAAAGTTTTCTATGTGGGCCTGGGACCTCATTTCCGCATGAGTCTGCATGAGTCAAAGTGGATCCTTCAAGAAACAGGTGTTCCCTCAAAAGGCAATGTGACAGCATGGGAAGATGACTATGATGTGGTACTAAATTAAAATGTAGGGCCGAAAATTACGTGAAGATTGTATCTCTGGCTACAATAGTGTTTGCTTGAAGAGGCAGGGCTTTCTAAAAAGGAATTCCTTTGTTTCTGAAAGCATCAGCTTTCCCCCTTCCTACTGACAGGGAACTGTATCAGAGCCATGGGATGGTAGTCAGGACCATTCCTGAGTTCTCCAACACATACAAGAAATTGTTTCATCCTTCCTAATCACACGTCTCCCAAGCAGGGCATGCAGATGTGCACCTGCCTGCTCTGTGCCAGGATTGGTAGTGACATTGTCACAGATCCACCTAGAAACTAGATGGAGAGAAATATTTCCCCATAGGCCAGTTCTCTAGGGAGTGCAGTGAACAGGGAAGCACATGTTCAAGCTGACCTGTAAACAGAGCCTAATAGTGTTAAATGGCAGCCCTGGGGACAAGTCAGGGGCCAATTCTGTAACTTAAGTCAGCCTCTCTATACTCACAACCAGTGAAGGAGAGCTTAGAGATAGTCATGAAAATATCATCTTTCTCCATTCTGACCCTCAGCACAATGGTCTCCCAGCCTGCTGATACCTAATGTCAAATCAGGTGAGCTTTAGGGTTAAGAAACAAGGAGCTTTCCAACGTGATAATGTTTTGGTGTTTAATGAATTTGTATTGCTATACTCTAAATCCTTTTAAAAAGAACATATTATGTTAACATCACAAGTAATACAACACTGATGTCATGTGTGGTGTGTGTGTGCACTTACTGCATTTTGAGAGGTTTCTTCCCATACTTTGTATCAAGAAAGGGTCTTAGTGAAATTGTATTTGTCGCACATCTGGGCAAATGGGCTGTCATTTCTCTCATTTTAATAAAGATTCATAGCAAACTACCAAGAAAGACAAAAATTAGGGGCTGAGCTCTATCTTTTTCTTTAAGTGATACTGAATTGTTTGATAGTCTACATTCAAAGCATTCTAATAAATCGCTTAGTGTATATATACTTTGGTGTTAAAATTAGTTGCATAATGTCTTTCTGCCCTACAGAATTGAGGGGGGGATCCATCAGATTTGTAGGAGTTCAACAAGAATTTATTAAAATTTTCTAATTATTAAAGCCTGTGAGTAGTCAGCTTTCCTTCTTTCTGACTTAATCTGTGTACATAGAAAAATATTCCTGGGCTCTTGAGTTGTTTTTCTTTGCTCTATTTGTTTTCAACAACTCTTCAGGAATATTAATCCCAAAGTGTTAATCTTAAACCGTAATACACACAACAAGCTTGACTGCAAAAATCATTCTTAACCTGGTTTTCTCCTAAATTGTCAAGACGGAAAACCTCAAGACTATATTTAGATCTATGCAAACCACCAGATTGCCTATCTGGTATTTCACTTTTGCAGAAAATCACGAGAGGTAAACAATATAAGACAAAATTCAGACAGGCATCTGATGAGACTGTGGTGAGAAGCTTCCCTCAAATCCTAATTCTGGATTCACTTTACTGCATGCTCATTCCCGCCCCCAGCTCAGTAGGTGCTTAACCCAGGAAAGAAATACAAGCTTATCTGGTTAAGCAAAAAAAAAGAAACCAAGCAGCCCAAAAACATAAAACAGATATGGGAGCTCCGTTCTCTCTTTTTCCCATCAACGG